GTGTTATGTGAATCAATGGTGGAATTTGACTCCTTGGCTGAAAATGGTTTTAATTTACATCCTATCATTGATGCTCAAGGTTGGGTAAAGCATTTTGATAGATTGTTTGGACCAGTTTATCCACACTTAGTGAAGGAATTCTGGATTCACGCATCTGTCTACCCAAAGTTCATAATCTCTTCTGTTTTGGGAAAAGAGATTATAGTCACTGAAGATCTAATCAGAAAACTCATTGGGTATGAGGAAATTGATGGAGTTTCTCATCTGCCAGCTGGGCGTGTTGAAATGGAAGAAGTGTATGCTGAAGTTATTTCATCTGGACAAGCTTCTAACAAGTTCAAGGATCTGAAACCTGATTACAAGATCTGGGCCAAGATTTTTCTGGGCTGTATCAACCACAGAAAATCCACAAACTCTCTAGATTATGTGAACAATGAACAGATTTACTTCATGTACTGCTTAAGTCAGAGTACTAAAGTGGATCTGCCACACATTCTCTTCATGCATCTGTGGAATCACATTAATGCATCCAGAGAATTTGTCAAGACTAAGGGTCAAAAGATCAGAACGTGGATACCTTTTGGAAGATTAATCTCAAACATTCTGACGGAGAATGGTCTGGTAGCTGCTCTACATGAAGCTGGAGTAAAAGAAGAACTTGATTCAATAGTTGGAAAACCTTTGAATGGAAAGAGTCTCCAAAGGCTAAGAGTTGTGGATGAACTCACGATTGCTCCTAAAAAGCTTAATATTGCTGAAGTCAGTTAGAGGAGGATTCCAGTTAAAGACTTTCCTATCTTCGGTGTTGAGGAACCTAGAGACGTTATTCTTAGGTACATTGACATGTGCAAGGCAGATGGAACACCTGTACCTGCTGATATTCTGATACATGCAAGAGAACCAGTCCCAGATGTTTATGAGGATAATATGAAGAAAAGAAGACAGTTAGAGGTGGAAGAAGCTGCTGCTCAGAAGAAACAGAAAGTTGCTGAAAAACCACAGAAGCAGATAAAGAGAAAAACTTCTGGAGAAGCTCCTTCTGTTCCTGCCAAACGCATCAAGATAAGAGGTACTAAAACATTTTTACCTTCTATTTCTGAAATTGCAGTAGATTTATCAATTATTAGCTCTGTTCCTGAACCCCCTCCTTCTCAAACTCAAACCACTTCTTTTCCATCTCAAACCTCTGAATGACCTACAACATCTGATCCTGTTCCTACAACACTATTACAATCATCTGACATTCCTAAATCAGAACCACAAACAACAAAATCAGTAGAACCAACTCCAACACCTCAACAACCTAAAATTCACCAAACTTCTGTACCTGAACCAATACCATCTGAACCCATTGTATCTGAACCACCAAAATCTATACCTTCCAATCCACAACCTAATCCTCAACCAGAACAACCCAAACCTACTGAATCAAATGTACCTGATTCTGAGGTTCTGGACGTCCAACCCTTCAAAATCTTGTTTGACATATCTTCCACATCATGTCACTCATCTACCTCATCTGATTCATCTGAATCCGATGTTCATCCAGATGTTAGCTCACCCCCTTCTCTCAAAAGATATGAATCAAACCAACCAGATACATCTATTTCATCTGATGCTATCATTCCTGAACCAACGCCAACACCTAAACCAAACCCATCAGCTTTTATTCCTTATTTTGACAATCCAAGAGCTGTCATCCCATCCATTCGCAGAATCAAACCTTTCTTTCGCATCATGCCTGCTCAAAAGAAACTAGCCTATCCTCGCCCTCTGTTCATCATTCCAAAATTTACCATACCACCTCCACCAAAACAATCCAAGCCATTCACTCTGGAAGCCTTTCTTAAACCAAAACCTAGGCTAAATGTTGATATTTTATTTGCAAGTTTTATGAAAGAAATAAAGATGAATTTAGACTCTGTGAAGAAAAGATGCTTGTCAACCATGAACTCAGATGAATCTGATGCTATTTGGAATAGCTTCATCTCCAGATTCAATACTGTTGCTTCAAATCTGAAGAGTGTCTGCTCTGATGATGCGAAGATCAGATTTGTTGAGGCTACCAGAACCATGCTATGGAATATGAAAAGATTTGCACCTTTGCTTCTTGAGGATGTACCTTCATCTTCTGAAGTATCTGCTACAGAAACTATTGCAGGATCTGCTTCTGAAGAAAATACTTTGGCTCTGACAACTGTGGACAAACCCTCTGCAACTCTAATGGTTATTGACTCTGCTCCTACATCAGAATCTGCTCCATCTACTTCTTCTGAGATCAAGAAAGAGAACCCAGAATTAGAAGATAAGATTGTTGTGCTAGAAGCTGGTCAATCTGAGATCAAGTCTTGGATGGCAAGACAAGATCAGAAGACTGAGAACATTGAAAAGTGGATGTCAAAGCAAGAAGAATCTTAATCTGAGATCACCCATCTTCTGAAGATGATTCTCTCCAAACAACCCTAGATTTATGTTTTCTGTATCTGATGTTTGTGCACTTATACTTGAATTTCTTATCTGATGTTTTGTCTGCTCTGTCTAAGTACTTATTTGATTAAATGAATGACTTTGTTGTTTTCTCTACATGAATGTATCTTTTCTCTCTATTTCCTTTTATTTGTCTTTAAAAGTTTTTCTTTTTGATTATGCCAAAAAGGGGGAGAAAATGAAATTCTGACTGTTCAAATAAACGTTACCTGAATGGAATTCAGACATATCAAATCATAACTAACGTGAATTTTTAGTATTTCAGAACTAATGATAAATCTGACAAAATTCTTTAAAGTAACTCTGAGATCCCCAGATCAAGTTTTAACCAATCAGACTCTGATTCTGAAACGTTCATCCAAATCAAGCACTAATTTTTTGGAACAATCAGACTCTGATTCTGAAAAGAATACTCATGCAAAAAGGGAAGTTTCTATTCTTTCTAAGTATTCAATTCAGAGGGAGATTCATAATCTCAGGGGGAGTTATAATTATTTCTTTATTGAACAAAATTTCTTATGTTTTTGTCATCAACGAAAAGGGGGAGATTGTTAGAACACAGGTTGGTTCTTAGTTATATCTCTATGTTTTGATGATAACACTTACGAAATTTTATATTAAGAAATTATATACTCTAAATTTGTTCAAGTATTTTTGCTACAGATATTAAATTTAATATTCTTCTGAAAGCAAAAATAGATCTGAACGTTGAACTATGCAAGGCTCTGAAGCGTCAGAAGCATCTCTTAGAAGAATCTGAGCGCTGCCTACAAAAGGATCTGAAGCAGAAGCTACAGAAGCATATGAAGCATAGACTGAAGACTTTGTATGAAGAGTTTCAAGCATAGTTTTTCAGAAGACTCTGATAGTACTGTACGCTGCAAGTACTGAGGATCTGATCCTTAAACTCTGCTCTAATGAATGTCACGCTAAAGCATACTTGCTGCAACACTCTGATACAACAAACTCTGGAGACATCAAGACTCTGATCAGTCAAGGCTCTGATGTAGATTGCTGTGAATTAGAAACTTGTTGAAGAAGAATTCAAAGTTATATCTGTTGGTTATGTCAAATGACTCTTTCCTCATTTATGCTAGACACAAGAACTCAGGCAAAAAGGATTTCTCTGAACGTTCTACTTCTAGGAAAGGTCAAGTGATGTGAAGACAAAAAGGTTACAGCTACTTTGCAGACACGGTCTTCAAGCTTGTAAACGTTTTGGACTTCTGCACCTATAAAAGTAAGACTTCAACATCTTTCTCAAGTTGACGAATTATTGAACAATTCATTTTGAAAACTCTCACAAAGCTCTCATACAAGTTATTATTCCTTGCTAAATAGTTTTCATAAGTTCTTAAACTTAAGTGTAAATCACAGTTGTGATACAGCTTACTTAGAAGCATTCAAACACTTGTTTAGTTTTACATTTGATTGTAAAAGTTCCTTGAGAAGACCAAGTTGTGGTCAGTAGTTCTTGAGAAGACTAAGAACAGTTGTTCTTAGTGGTTGCTATTGTAATCAGTTTGATTAATAGTGGATTAAGTCCTTGTAGAGAAAGGCAAATCACTCTTGATAGGGTGGACTGGATTAGTTGAGTTCAACGAATCAGGATAAAAATCTTTGTGTTTCTAGTGCCATAATTTTTTCTATATATTTATTCAACACCCCCCCCCCCCCCCCCTTCTAAGTATTTTCTCACCTTCATTTCTTTCTCGCTTAATAAATAGAAGATCACAAACTAACATTACGCTAACACTCATTCGCATAACTAACTAAATGGGACTCGTTGAGTACAACGGATGTGAGGGGTGCTAATACCTTCCCCTTACATACCTGACTCCCAAACCCGCTCTTGGTTGCGACGGTCATTTCTTTTTTTTTCTTCGTGAATTTTATCGATATTTTCTTCTTTTTTTTTAAATAAATAAAGTTTGTTAACGACTCTGTTGTATTTCAAGCGTGGGATGAACTCGTTGTATTTATTTATATCGTGACACTTAACTTACTTCGACTATATTATCTAACACAATTATATCAAATACAACTTTTTTTATTAAATCATTGAATATCAAAGTATAATTCTTCTCTCGATTCAGGCGGCAACACCTCCAGCAAAAAGTTTAGATTTTACATTCATTCTTTTTAATATCCACAAAATTTATAGATTCTTTCATAAGAGATAGAAAGAATTGTAGACACCAAATATAAACAAACAAATGATATTATAACTATATTTAGACCCACCTTCTCAATTATTATAATAATAATATTCTATTAAGAACCTTTTTCACATTATAAACCTATTTATTTCCCATGCAGCCATACTATTCATGTTCCTAACTTTTTGTTACCACACTAAACCTCCCCACAAAAACAAAAACAACATTATCTCAACACAGTGTTATGAACATCACGTGTCGTGTTTCTTCTCTTATTCTCAATCACACACACAAAACTAACATATATCATCATCCACATTCCACAATATTAGTAAATTTCACCAAAAACTAAACATGTTTCCTCTCTTATTCCTACTCCTAAAACTACAAATCTTCCTCATACATGCTTCTCAATCTCTCCCTGAACTTAACACTCTAATTGCCATCAAAGAATCTCTAGACCCAGAAAACCGTGTGTTATTCTCATGGAACACTGATTCTGACCCATGTAGTGGAACTTTTGAAGGTGTTGCTTGTAATGAACAAGGTCTTGTTACTAATATTTCACTTCAAGGAAAAGGCTTATCTGGGAAAATACCTTCGGTTATTGCTAGTCTTAAGAGTTTGACTGGTCTTTACCTTCATTTCAATGCTTTGAATGGGATTTTGCCTAGGGAAATTGCAGGTTTATCTCAGCTTAGTGATTTGTATCTTAATGTTAATAATCTTTCTGGTACTATCCCTCGTGAGATTGGTAACATGTCAAACCTTCAAGGTTAGTTGCTGATTTTTTATCTTTGTAGTTCTTATTTGTTAGCTTATCTGTGAAAGTTGATTATTTGGTTGAGAATTAGTTCTTTTTTTGTTGCATTTGGCTATTTGGGTTTTTTGGACAGTTCTATAATCATATGTTATGTTATATCATGTTTGTTCATTTCAGTACTTTGGGCCAATCCAAACAGGCCCTTATCTTTGTCTTCTTTGTTGTTTACTTTATCTTATTTTCAATATAGCTCAAGATATTCTAATCAGTTAAGAACTTATACAGTTTTGCAGCTTTCTTATAATGAGCTTAATGGGAGTATACCTACCGAGCTAGGAAGATTAGAGAGGCTAAGTGTTCTTTCACTCCAATATAATCACTTACGCGGCGCAATTCCTGCAAGTTTGGGTGAGCTAGAGTCACTAGAAAGATTGGATCTCAGCTTCAATACCCTTTTTGGTCCAATTCCAGTAACATTGTCTTATGCACCTAAACTACAGACTCTTGATGTTCGAAACAATTCACTCTCCGGAAACATCCCTCTAGGTAATCGGTCGTTATGAAACACTGACACAGACACCAACAAAATATTGATATTTACATATTGACACCGAACACCCCGTTAAGCTGAAGTGTCTGTGCTACATACACTGGATTATCATTTTTTAGCTTACCACGCTGATTTATATGTTAATTCATGTTGTCTACTTTATGTATAATGCAGATTTGAAAAGACTAGAAGAAGGGTTCAAGTATTCGAACAATCGTGGTTTATGCGGAACTGGATTTGCCAATTTAGATTCTTGTCAAATAGTAAGCAATTCAGATCCAATTAGACCTGAACCATATGTACCTACAAAGAATTCTACAATTGATTATCCGACATCGCCTGAACAAACGGCTAAAAACTGCAGCAATGCTGATTGTAGAAGGCGCTCAGAATCTTTGATAATTGCTTTGATTTTTGTGATGATTGGTGTTATTTTTGTTTCTTCTGTTACGGGGCTATTTCTGATCTTACGATACCGTCGCCAGAAACAGAAAATTGGAAACACTGGTGAAATTTCTAATAGTCGTCGGCTTAGTACTGACAAGATCAAGGAAGTGTGCAGGAAAAACGCGTCGCGGCTTATAAGTTTGGAGTATTCCAACGGATGGGATCCGTTATCCAGAAATCTCAGTGGTTACTCACAAGAATTTCTTGAAAGCTTTATGTTTAATCTTGAAGAAGTAGACCGTGCAACTCAGTGCTTCTCGGAGCTAAATTTATTGACGAAGAACAATATTTCGGCCAACTATAGAGGAATCTTGAGAGACGGATCTGTTGTGGTTATAAAGTGCATTGCCAAGACAAGCTGCAAGTCTGATGAAACTGAGTTCTTGAAAGGCTTGAAGATATTAACTTCTTTAAAGCACGATAATCTGGTTCGGTTGAGAGGCTTCTGCTGTTCGAAAGGCCGCGGGGAGTGTTTTCTGGTTTACGATTTTGTTTCAAACGGGAGTTTGTCGAAGTATCTTGATCTTAAAAGAGGAAGTGATGAGGTACTTGAATGGTCCACTAGAGTTTCCATAATCCATGGTATTGCCAAAGGTTAGCTTTCCTATGACTCTTGAAACATTCTTGATTAATGATTTTATACTTTTTTTAGAGTCTTTCTATGAACACGACACTGACACGTATCAAATGTCTGACATGTCTTCAATCTGAAGTCTCGCTGACACATTTGTTTTGATACACTTAGTGTCATGTGATTGTGAATAAGTAACATATTGTCTTATTGTGTGCTATTCAGGTATTGGTTATCTCCATGGAAAAAAAGGAAGCAAGCATTATTCACTAGTTCATCAGAGTATATCAGCTGAAAAAGTACTTCTCGATTCTCGGTACAATTCCTTACTTGCAGATTCAGGATTGCACAAACTTCTTGCAGATGATGTTGTTTTCTCCACCCTCAAAGCTAGTGCTGCAATGGGGTACCTGGCACCAGAATACGCGACAACAGGTCGTTTTACCGAAAAAAGTGATGTCTATGCTTTTGGGGTGATAGCTTTCCAACTTCTCATTGGAAAACATGATATCGCCCTATTAAGTCGGCGATGGGAAGAAACTGGATGTTTGAAAGATATTATCGATGAAAATCTTGAAGGTAAGTATTTAGAATCCGAGGCAGAGAAATTGGCGAGACTTGCTTCGGTTTGCACCAATGAATCTCCTGATCTCCGGCCGCATATGGAGGATATAATGATAGAACTGAGTGACGATAAGTGGTAAGCAACCATGCATTTCATGACAGAAGATTGATATCTTAACTTGAAGTGGTTGTAAAATAGTATAGAAGTTTTCTTAGTAAGTCAATTATGTTTAAATTGTTTTGTATTATAGTTGAGAACATGTAAAGTTTAGAGAAATTTCACATGTAAAGTCAATATCTTGGTAAGCTCTTTCGCCTATAAATATTGCAGGATAAATACTGCAAATTAATCATAAGAATGCTTATGAAGATTTGAAAAGATTTTGTACGATTATATTGATGATCGAGACTTACCGTTTTCCTTGGACATGCATTAAAAATGTTTTAATAATCATGCATACATATAGCCGGGAAATCTGACATATATGAAGAGAAGCTTCTGAAGATCGTTAATCTTCGAGAATATTTCTTTTCCTTGGACATAATTACTCCCAAAACAAGCTCTAAAAATTACTGTCGACCGACAAATTTCGCAGATCTTTGTCAACTATAATCTCTGAAACTAGTCCAGCACTTTCAATTCTGGCTTCCGAAGGTTTGTAGAGTCAACTATCTTATCAACCATTATCTTCACTTTGTATAGGTACAATTCAGGCGCAATTATATGTGGGAATTTCTTAACGCAATTATTACTAGGACACCAAGTAATTTATTTTCGGACGTACTTTAAAAAATAGAATTTTAATTTGATGTAAAAAAAATTACAGAAATGCATATTTATATACATTTTGGAGATGCATCTTCGAATGATATTTATTCTAAAACTCACCAGAACTCCTTCTCCACCCTCACTTTTAAAAGAACAACTCTAAATATTTCTCAAACTCTCTAAACTCACATTTTCTCAAAATTAATCAATCAAGTTCAAATCTTTTTCCATCAACATCAAGTACATCAAAGAAATCATTCAACAGTGAAATAAACTAACAATTTATAAAAAAAAATTAAAAAAAACTTTTTTTGGTTTTTGTATAAATTAGTAGAAATTGACGATTAGGTTAAGAAATAGAGAGTTTTTGCATGATTGATAGTTTATATATATTGAAAAACGTGTTCGATGGTTAAAAATAACAATCAATGCATTATTTTTTGGGGTTTGATGGTACCGTCATAGATAAAGCTGTATGTTGTATGAAATTTCAGAGATGCAGCTCCAGAATTTTTTAACGTTTGGATTCTTAGGAACCAGAGAGGCATCTCCGTAATTTATCTTTTTTTTTCTTCTTTCTTGTAGGGTTGCTTGTAGTAATTGGCACTTATTTAATTTACTTACAGGCCTTATGGCTGATAGAGACGACGAATTGAGACACAGGAGGATTGTGTAGCATGCATCTGTCCTGAGGGAAAAGAGTTAGGATTCGGAGGCTCCTGCCTCTATCCCAGTTCATGCAGAGGCATCCACTTCTGGAGGTTATATATCTCCACCTTCTTCTTCCCGTAGAAAACGAGTGTCATCTACTGAAGTATCACTGCCTCCATCTTCCCGGAGGCAACAAGTTTTACTTATTCATGCGCCAAAGATAACCGAGTCACCAAAGGTACCTGAGACACCAATGTCATCCCAAACACCAGAGGGACCTCATGCTAATGAGTCAGTGCCGCCTCAGGCTGATGAGGTTGATGAGCCAGTGCCATCTGAAGCTGCTGAGAATGATGAGTCAATGCCACCTTAGGTATTTGGAGGAGGCCCTATAGAGTTGTCATTGCTACCTCTTTACTCTGATCATACTGTCAGACATATCTGGGATAGAGAGGTAACATTAATTGGATTCATTCATTTTAAATTATGTTTATTATATTACAAGTTTTTGACATAAACTTATTTTTCTGCAGGACTGTGATCCGCTAAAATTTATTAACCATGAGCGGAAGATTATTGGTTTGCCTCAGTCTAATGATGAGTAGTTTCAGGCTGCTTTGTCCTTATATTAGATGAAGGACTTGTGCAAGACCAATAATGTTACGGTCAACCACGGGATGATTAATACATTCGTGGAAAGATGGCACACTGAGACTTCATCAGACTTGAATCTTCTAGGACTTCTCACACATCTTCGGCTGGTCTAGTGTACTGACCTATACTGAGAATATGTCGTGTGCTTATGCATTTTCTCCGCTCAAAGGGAATCAGGCGACAAGTTTGTTTTAAGTGTATCATGACCGCTTAATGGCCTAGGATATGCACTTTAACAACTATGTCGATCACCGTGAGACGCGACCATTTGACAATATAGTGTTATACTTAGATGGTTGGCTTGCGGTTCACATTTGACATTTCCTCATCTACATGAGCACGTCATGAGGCAGTTCAGCTACACTCAGACTATTCTCAAACACCCTACTATCTCTGTTCCTCTTGCTATGACATGTAGAGATATGGATGTCATGTTTCATGATTATGTTAGTCATCTGGTATCAGAGGACACACGGAGTACCATAACTGAGAGCGATTGGAGCTATGTCGATGAGTGCATCAGGTGGTTCTTTAAGGCGTCATATCTGTATATGGTGGAGGCTGCTCCAGGAGATCCATCGAGGCCAACTCATCAAGAGATACTAGAGGAGGAGCAGGCACAGTTAGATCATGCTCATGATGTATTTCCAAGATGTCATTGCATTGTGAAGATTGTGCGGGCATACATTGACAAAGGTATCTTTCCTGAAGGTCTTGAGGTGAGGTAGATATTATATGTCATTATGACGGAGGTACAAGAGGCACTGATGTAGCGCAAACAACGTCGGAGAACAGGGGCGGTGGAGGCTGAGGAGCTCTAGTCTGACATACACACTAGTTTATAGTATTTGTACTTTGGATTTATTATCGATTGTATTTTATTTTTAACTTATTTCAACTTTATTGTGTATTTAAACTTCATTATGTATCAGCTTATGACTTATTTTGACCATCTGGATATATATATATATATATATATATATATATATATATATATATATATATATATATATATATATATATATATATATATATATCATTTTTTGCATATTAATTATATATTTTAATATTCATCACATAACAGAGTCCTTAACATTTATAAATCGTCATTTTCATCTGAGTAATCAAACTAACTTAACTTGCACTATTCTGATAGGTTACAGAGATGCATCTCCATAAACCCTAAATGGAGATGCATCTCTAGATTAACAAATGTATGAAATAGGTCTTTCAGAGAGGGGTGCATGAGATATGTTTTAAAATATTTGAAATAGGACTTTCAGATAGGGATTAGCCAATTTAGGTTCTTGTCAAATAGTAAGCAATTCAGATCCAATTAGACCTGAACCATATGTACCTACAAAGATTCTACAATTGATTTCGACTTCGCCGGGAAAAAAAGGGTAAAAAATGTAGCAACGCTGATTGTAGAAGGCGCTCAGAATCTTTGATAATTGCTTTGATTTTTGTGATGATTGGTGTTATTTTTGTTTCTTCTGTTACCGAGCTTTTTCTGATCTTACAATACTGTCGCCAGAAAGAGAAAATTGGAAACACTGGTGAAATTTCTAATAGTCGTCTACTTAGAACTAACAAGATCAAGGAAGTGTTCAGGAAAAACGTGTCGCGGCTTATAAGTTTGGAGTATTCCAACGGATGGGATCCGTTATCCAAAAATCTCAATGGTTACTCGCAATAATTTCTCGAAAGACTTATGTTTAATCTCAAAGAAGTAGGCCGAGCAACTTAGTATTTCTCAGAGCTAATATATTGAAGAACAACAATATTTTTGCTAACTATAAAGGAATCTTGAGAGACGGGTCTATTGTGGTTATAAAGTGCATTGCCAAGACAAACTGCAAGTCTGATGAAACTAAGTTCTTGAAAGGCTTGAAGACATTAACTTTATTAAAGCATAATAATCTAGTTCATTTGTGAGGCTTTTGTTTCGAACGAGAGTTTTTCGAAGTATCTTGATGTTAAGAGAATAAGTGATTTGGTATTCGAATGGTCCACTAAAGTTTCTGTTATCCATGGTATTGCCAAAGGTTAGATTTTCTATGACTCTAGAAACATTCTTGATTAAATATTTTATACTTTTTTTATAATCTAGGACACAAACACGAACACCGGAAATGATACTGACACTGTGTTCGCTGTGTTTTCTGGCGAACAACCTCTGGTTAACCAATTTCTTCAGAAAGTTGGGTTACTTGCAGGACCAACCATACAAGTCCTAGGATACATGTGCATTTGGTTCTGTCGAAATACTCTTAGACTTTTGGTGACTAATTTGCGGTTTGTTTTATCAATATTGTCAAAGTATTAAGGACTTTGATTTTGCAAGTAACGAAAGTTTGAACTTAAAGATGAAATAAGGTTAAAAGTTTAAACAAGAACAAAGAAATGTCGAAAGGCTAAAAACTTGCAAAAAAGTAAATGAAATTTAAAATGACATGGACTTTGAAGAATAAACAAGTAATTTAAAATGACTTTGAAATATAACTGGTGTTTAAACGTACATTGTTCCAAATACTAGGCTCATTTTCTCTCACACTGGGTACTTAGAGCTTTTACAGGAATTTTGTACAAATTTTCACACACACATTCTAACCACAAACTATCCTATTTATACACAAACAAAATAACTGCTTAGAACGGAAAAACTATAACTAAACGACAAGTGTCAGCCTGCATGTAAATTTCTTCTCTGAAACCTCCATGTGTCCAACTGCCAAAGGTTACAACCTTTGAATTTGAATCTCTTCCTTGGTGACGAAACCTTGTAACTCTTCAAAACTGTCGAAACCCTTTTAAAGGAGAGAAACTCTTCAGCACTTGCCAAACCTTATCTTTTTTTAACAAACTTCTTCTGTCGAAGCCCTCAGTCACAAACTCTCCAAACTATTCTGCCAGAACATTATATCTATTTCTGTCGAAACAATGAAACTTTAAAACCTTGTCAGCAATTCTTGGATTCTCCTCCTGATGCTATCCTTCGACAAAGATGACCTTAAAGCCTGAATTTTAATCTTGTCGAAATTATGGGTTTACAAATTGCCCCCC